TAATTGTTTGTTAATTTAAATAAGGATTGCGCATGCTCACATTTAGTTGATAAGGTGATGACTCTAATTGCTCTTTTCATGAGTTTTTTGACTGAGCTGGTGACTGAGGCAAGAAAAACTTTATTTTGTTTATTATACAAATAGATTTGGCTAGTTTTGAGCAGATGTTGTCTATGTGTGACCGAAAGGATAATTTCTGATCCAGAAAGACTCCCAAAAACTTGACTACTTTACTTTCAATGATGTCACAACCATTTATTACAATTTTGAAAGGTTCTTTATAATTTAAAAAATTTACTGGACCAAACACAATCATCTGAGTTTTTTTCATATTTATTGTTAACTTATTATTTTTAAACCAGTTGCTAATGTGCTCAATTTCTACGTTAGTTTTTGCAATCAATTCATTGATGTTTTTGCCTACACTGAAAACATTAGTATCTTCTGCAAAGCAGATATAATCAAAGTAAGTTGAAGAGTTTGGCAAGTCGTTTATGAAGATAACAAAAAGCAGGGGCCCCAAAATCGACCCTTGCGGCACCCCAAATTTATTGAGCACTATCGCTGATACTTCATTTTTCCATTTCACGAACTGATTTCGATTTGAAAGATAACTTTGTATCCATTTTAGTGTTGTGCCTCTTATTCCATATTTTTCAAGTTTTCCCAGAAGTATCCTGTGGTCTATACAGTCAAATGCCTTGGTAAGATCTAAGCAAGTACCAACAACATAATTTTTATTTTCTGTCTCTCTCCCGATTTTACGAAGTAATTCTATAATGGCTAATTCTGTTGAATGGTTTTGTCTAAATCCAAATTGAGAATTCGTTAACAAATGATTTTTTTCTAAAAAAAGGATTAACCTGTTGTATTCATTCATTCATACATACCTTCATACATACATACATACATACACACATACATACATACATACATACATACATACATACATACATACATACATACATACATACATACATACATACATACATACATACATACATACATACATACATACATACATAGATACATACATTCATACATACATACATTCATACATGCAAACCTGACAAGTAAAGAATGCGGTTTGGCCGCGGCCAGGGCAGCGGACGAGAAAATGAAAAAATATGAGAACGCCCTCCCCTCGATGGAATTCTTGCCAATATGTATCGAGGTTTTCGGCCCGATGGACCCCAACACCCTTAAATTTCTTAAGGCAATATGTAAAATGATCAGCGTCAGATCAGGCAACAGAAGGGAACTGTTTTTCGCAACCAACCACATTTCGTGCTTGTTGCAGCGGTTCCTGCGTGTCTGTGTGCTTGAAAATATCCAACTGAATGCCGACATGTGCAATTAACGACAAATCAAAGTGTTAATCCATTTGTTACTTGATGTTTGACGGTTCAGTGTCATTCATCATGTTTTGGTTTTAACATTCATACATACATACATACATACATACATACATACATACATACATACATACATACATACATACATACATACATACATACATACATACATACATACATACATACATACATACATACATACATACATACATACATACGTACGTACATACATACATACATACGTACATACATACATACATACATACATACATACATACATACGTACATACTTACATTTTGTTTATGCACACCTAAATACATTTATTAATAAACAAATAGATAAAAAACGCCAGGAATAAGCTTTGATGTTTCCGCAATAATATCCCAAAGACGCAAAATAAGAAGAAGATAAAACAAATGTAATCTTAAATTTATATTTATGTCTATTGTTATCGTTGCTTCTCTGGCAGTTGGTGACTAGATGGTGGATTTTTAAATTATTTATTGTAATTATTTTTTTATTAGTGTCATTAATGTTTAGAATTGGTTGTGATGTTAATGCTATTGTTAATGTTTTTGGAATGTCTTGAATGTTTTTGATTTCGAGAGATTTCGTTTCTTAGTATCAATGATACATTATGTGGCCATGATATTGAAGATGATGATGATACTTCGGAAGATGATGATGATGATGATAATGATTATGTTGTTGGAAATGATGACGATGAAGATAATGATGATAAGGACGATGATGACGATGATGGTGAGAAACAAAAGAACCAACTTAATCATGATGATGACAATGATAAATTCAGCTATTATTAAAATGATACGACATAAAAATCAAATTTTAAGAAAGAATTTACAAATTTTGTAATTATAAAATTTTTCAACGAGTCGTTTGTAAATGTTACTATATAGCAAAATAATCCTTCTCCTCCATATCTACTACAGCCGCCACGGCCGCCACCACCATCACCACGGCCGCTGCCACCGCCACCACTACCACTATAAATGTTTACATTTGCCGTGCAAAGTATCTCAGCGATTAGCTGACGATCAAAATCCGGAAGTGGCTTATTTCCGGAAGAGGTTTGAAGCTTTTCCGGTCTGAGAAACAAATGCTGATGTTTTGATGATGAAATCATTTGATGGTGGTGGAGACGAGACAACAACTATGATGGTGGGAAGGGTAATGATGGTGGTGGTGATTGTGATGTTGTTGGTGATGGTTTTGTTGTTGTTGTTGTTATTGTTGTTATTTTTTACTGTTGTTGCTGCTGTTATTGTTGTTGCTGTCGTTGTTGTTGTTGTTGTTGGCAATGACAATTTTATTAAAATAAAAAAAAAACAAGATAGAAACAAAACCAAATCCTGAATTAAATGCTGGCATCTAAGACGATAGTGATGATGAAAATGCTCTCTGTGATAATGACGATGACGACGACCAATTATGATAACATGATTACGCTGATAATCGTTATGATGGTATCGATATATAAAAAGAGATGTTTATGCAAACATGTTGACGACAACAAGAGTGAGTGAAAATAAAGAAGATTGCAACAGCAATGTGAACGATGATGACTTAACAATAGTGACGTAATCAACAGTCTGCCCATCAATTATTCACTACTATAACAACGACAACAAAGCCAACTCGACAATAGCAACAACAACAATAAAGCCAACTCAACAACAACAGCAATAAAGCCAACTCAAAAACAATTAGTCACATGGTTGTCACGTGTCATGATGTGACATCACACGCCTCCGAGGTCATTGGTGAAGGTCGGTGAAGGTCAAACAGGCAAACAACTTATTGTGCTGTCAGAGAGAATTGCATCGCCCTTATCATCACTATCATCTTTTGGACATAACTACCATCGTCATCATCACCATCATCGTCATCATCACCATCATCGTCATCATCACCATCATCGTCATCACCATCATCGTCATCACCATCATCGTCATCATCATCATCGTTATGATTGTTTCAGTGCTCTTAATGTTAAATGTGAATGTTAACATAAACATTATGAATATTATTATATTTAATAATATTGTTATTGTGATGATTATCATTATAAGTAGTATTAGTAATAGTTGAAGTACATGGTCCTATCGTCAATTTCCTCATCTTCATCGAAATCATCATTTTTATACTGACAGAGTTAGATGAGCCAAAATTGTTGTTTGAAAACTCTCCCAACTCTAACTGAACAAACATATATAACAGTAGTGGCCATATATTTCACAACTTTTAATAAAAGTTACAAATAATTTTTTTCAAAATATTATGGAGAGTTAACCCAAAAGTTTGTCCCCACCCTACACTAAATTATTGGAGGAGAGGGCAGAAAGTGCTGTGCCCTCCTAAGTCGATTCGTGGGGTGTTAATGGCCATCATCTACTCATATTTACTACATTACTGTTTAATTAATCATATCACATACAACCAGTACCATAAGTTAACATTCAGGTTATCATCATCTTCGTTGTTGTCGTCATTGTGATTATTGTTTTCATCATCACCATCGTCGTCATCATCATCATCGTCGTCGTCTCGTCATCATCATGAACATCTCGTGTTAGATAATCGTCGGCATCATTAAAACGCCCCTTATAACCTCTTACAACAGCACGCACCTGATACATTTTGTTGTTGTTCTTTTAGTTGTATGTTTTGACTTTTTGTTGTTTGTCTATGTTTTATGTTGTATGCTCGCGTTTTTGTTGAGTTGATCGTATTTTTTTGTTGTATGTTTGTCATTTTTGTACGTTTGTATCTTTTGTTTTTTGAGGCGTTTTTGTGTTTTTGGCGTAAAATTGTGTTTGTTGTGTTTAATGTTTTTTTGTTGTTCATTTGGATGTTTGTTTTTTAGTAAATCTGTATCTTTGTAATATGTTTGATTTTTGGCTTGTTTCTAATTGTTTTTATTGTATTTTTGTTTTTTGTTGTATATTTGACTTTTTATAAATTTTTCTTTTATGTTTGTATTATTTCATTGTATAACTTTTCAGTTGATTGTATTTTTGTTGCATGTTTGTATTTAGTTATTGATATATTTTGTCGTTAGTGTATGTTTTTTATTGTATGTTTTTATTTGTTTTCTATGCATATGATTTCCGTTTTTTCATAACATGGCATGTTTATGGAGAAACTTTTTTAAGTTTTTTATTCAATTAAAACTTTCTATTAATGCAAAACAATGGTTTGATGTTTATGTATCTATTTTGTCTATGTATATATATATATTGAATGTTGTTGTGGTCTATTTACAATTTTTTCATCTTTTTAAATACAAATAAAAAAATTCTAAAACATCATTAGATTATTTTTTAATAAAATTCAAATAGTAAATAAATAGCGCTAACAATGGTATATGGTTTCTAGCATGCACACGCACACATACACATACAAACACAACACAAATATATATATATATATATATATATATATAAACCCACACGCACACGCACACACACACACACATATATATATATTATAATTTGTTTGTTTATGTTTCTTGATAACACCCAATGAAATGAAATAATCATTTTAAAAATTAAAATACTTGAAAAATGAACAATTAAATAATGAAGTAAAATATTATTTTTTTATCATTTCAAGTATATTAAGCAATATTATTCAAAATAACCTTTCAAGTACTTCACACACACACGCACACACACACGCACACACATGCACAGACGCACGCACATACACGCCCGCACGCACACAGATGTTCGCACGTGCATTCGTTTTATTTGCGTGAGTGATAGCTGTAGATGTTGATTGGCTCAAATTGATTGATTGTCTGACATTGTAGTTGGTCCAAATCCTAACCTCAATGCTTTCATTAAGCGCTATATAAAGGCAGGAATAAATATTCTCCAGAATTCAATTGAAGATCACATTTTCTTTTTGGTTTAGGATTATCTTGTTGATTCATTTATTTATTTTATTACGAAGATTTTGTTGGAAAATTTTTTGGTATTAACTTTAATTCCGTAATTTTAAATATTAATTTATCGGTTTATTTTTCTATCCATCCATCCATCCATCCATCCATCCATCCATCCATCCATCCATCCATCCATCCATCCATCCATCCATCCATCCATCCATCCATCCATCCATCCATCCATCCATCCATCCATCCATCCATCCATCCATCCATCCATCCATGTGTGAATGTCTTTCTTTTCACCATCCCTTCTTCCAGCATTCAAAAATCTTCCTTCCTCATCAATTCAAATTATAAACATTCTTACATTAATTCTGTTTGCGTTTCATTTTACTGGTTGGCATAGGTTTCCGTGTAGGTACGTGTGTTGGTTGGTTCACCCATGTGTGATGGTTAATTTTTTCACTTGTTATGTGTAAGCGTGTAATTCTGTGTTTTTATGTTTATTTAACTGATGTATTGATTCGAAATTGATAATCAAAATAAATAATCTTGTGTTTGTATTCGTCAATTGGCTTCTATCAATACATACGATTATTGCTATTAAAGTATCACACGAGCATTGCACGCATGCACACAAAAAGGCACTTGCAAACTCACACTTACCCGGACACTTACACACATAAACATAAAAACACACACGTAAACATTCGACAACGTTCACATAACAAACAATTCACAATTCACAAACAGTCATCGGCAATCACATATTTTCACGGTCTAGAAAACATTCAGCCAAATACGAACTTCCTTGGGCAAATATATCTCGTAGGTATAAATTTTTGAAAACACACTTCACCAAAATGTTGCTACAAAATTTCATGAAGCATATTTATCTCCAATTTAAACAAATCACTGAACATCTGAATTATTCATTCTCAAAATTTGTTTTGAATGAGTTCAAGTTAGGTCGCTGGGCGAACAATTTTTCAGCCAACGCACATCAGAAAAATATACTTACAGGTCGACAAACACTTGCAATATCTTCGATGGCTTCATCTCATCTTTATAAACAAGTTAACAAACTTTAAAAGTTAGAATAGTAGAATAGACAATAAATCAACATACACAACTTTTTATCTATCTACAATTTGTCTTATTAGCTTAGTCAACTTGACAAGAGGCACGGACATTATTTTACTAACTTTTCAAATTTCGTCTCCGATAAAGAAACGTTTGTTTTGTTTGGCAATTACTAAAGTTAGTACAAATCAAATTAAGATGATGTAAAGCCAGCGGCGATCAGAATGTTACTTCGCCACTAAAAAATATACAAAGTTTAAAGCCAAATACACAATTAAACAAACACACACAATCATAAAAACATCAACACACAAAATTTCTACCCAGACACAAACCAACAAACAAACAAACAAAAGCAAACTCCATTTTCGTGTACGCCGAGTTTTCAGATAGCGTAGGTTTTGCCATCCCATATAACAAAACAGCTGTTGACCGGATGTGTTAAATGGCTCCAGAAAAAAAACACTAAATAAAAGTAGAGTAACATTATCTGGAGACAAATAAAAAGAGCCAGCCCAACTTGCAATGTTTTTTTCTGTTTTATGTATTTGTGGTTCTTCCCTGAACGTAAGCAATTACCGAACCAAATATTTTGTAGACTCGCGATTTAGTGTCCAAGTTTTACATGAAAATATTTCAACAAAAATAAAAGAAACAAATAAATGAACACACGTACGCACATGAACACATTCATAAATAAAACACATAAACACACATTAGCAATTAAATCATTGACATCAGAGCGTCGTCATAAAAAACATGTGACTTAAATTATCAATAAAAAACATATCTTTAAAAACACATTTACAAAAACATCCCATAAAAACATACAACTTTGTTGTTACCAAACATGCGTGTATATATACCAACCAATTCAAAATTTACATTAAAACATACAAAACAAAATGTGTACACCAATATGTAAACACACATCCATACAAATTTGTACCATCAACCTACACACACAAACACATATAAGCACATACATACAAAGTTATGGTATCTCTCTGATGTCACATTAATAACGCTACGTCATTCTGTCTGGTGCAGTAGGGAATACAAACACGTACACACACGCATGCTTATATGTGTGAACGTGTTTGTCTTTATTCACGTGCACGTGTGTACGTGGGAGTGTGTTTTCCGGTTCGCCTGTCCGTTTTTACGTATCTGCGTATCTCATTTACAAAGTATTGTATTTTTTATGCCTTGTTGAACATAAATACACACACAAAAATTATTTTAAAAATTTTCTGCAAAAAATTACTTCAAACAAACGAAAAATCCTAAAAATTATTGCCTAGTAAATTACGGCTTTAAAAATAATTTCATAATTTTTCTTGCCTTTTTCTTACTTTTTCATCCTTTTTTATTTTTCTTCAAATTGTTTTTATTATTTTTGTTATTCGTTATAAAACCGCGCCAGCCGAAACATTCCAGTCTCGCTCGCAAGCATGAAATTTAGGGGACCATCATTGTCGAATATAACATCGATTATGCTGACAGCGTCACGATAATACGAAGCAAGTTTTGAATTTAGAGTGCACCTAACCCGGCGAGGTCGCGAATGATTTTTATTTAATTTTTACATTAAAAGCGATCGTTAGGATTGAAAAATATGAGCTTGGAAACAAGTTCTCTTCTATTGTTGATGAAACTCGAAATTAATTAAACGCGTTTTGTCTCGTCGTCGTCATCGTCACTGTCGTCATCGTCACGAATGTAATTAAAACTACTGTCTTTCTCGTAACTATGGTAACGTGAAATATTTCATTAAATGTTGACCTAATTTCGTGACTTGACCTCCTTCCAATCCCTAACTCCTTCTTATTTATTACACGGTTTCTCAAGCGAACAAATATTAAAAAAGGAAACAAATGTACGGCTCAAGTGCCATGGGAGGTTTTGTATCTGTGAGTGTGTGTGTGTCTGTGTCTTTGTATCTATGCGTGCTTATGTGTGTGTGTGTTCTTTTTGTATCTATAAATGTATGTGTGTATTCTTCTGCTTTTTTTAAGTTTGTCAGTGCGTCTTTCTATAGTTATTCCTAAGTGTGTTTATATTTACATACAGGGAGACACAACGAAACACACAGCACACACACACATATATACATACATACATACATACGTACATACATACATACATACATACATACATACATACATACATACATACATACATACATACATACATACATACATACATACATACATACATACATACATACATACATACATACATACATACATACATACATACATACATACATACATACAAAATTTGTTGTCTTCATGCGGCGACGACTTTTCCACCGCTCGTTTGTTGGCCATGTCCAGCGTTGCCAGCTGTGGGTGGTTGAGATCGTGGCCCAACACCTCTGTGGGCACCAGGCTTGACGACGAGTCTGTGAGATTTGCCATTGGCTTCAGACTTGGCCTGGTCATTCAGAATAAATACACGTGCCGATGTAGCGCAGGGGCGGACGAGTTTGGGTACCACGGTTTGGTTTGTCGCCTGGGTGGGGGCCGTCAACTACGTCACTCAGCGCTAAACGAATACATTTGTCGGCTCTTCCCCAAGGCTTCAATCCCGGTTCTCAAGGAACCATCCGGCATTTCTGCGCATGATGGTAGGCGCCCGAACGGATGCACACTAATACCTTGGAGAGCCGACAGATGTTTGGCGTGGGATGTTACGGTCCCTGGCACCCTCGCCGAACGATACGTAAACCTGACAAGTAAAGAATGCGGTTTGGCCGCGGCCAGGGCAGCGGACGAAAAAATGAAAAAATATGGGAACGCCTTTCCCTCGATGGAATTCTTGCCAATATGTATCGAGGTTCTTGGCCCGATGGACCCCAACACCCTTAAATTTCTTAAGGCAATATGTAAAATGATCAGCGTCAGATCAGGCGACAGCAGGGAACTGTTTTTCGCAACTAACCACATTTCGTGCTTGTTGCAGCGGTTCCTGCGTGTCTGTGTGCTTGAAAATATCCAACTGAATGCCGACATGTGCAATTAACTATAAATCAAAGTGTTAATCCATTTGTTACTTGATGTTTGACGATTCAGTGTCACTCATCATGTTTTGGTTTTAACATACATACATACATACATACATACATACATACATACATACATACATACATACATACATACATACATACATACATACATACATACATACATACACACATACATACATGTATGCACATATACATACATACATACACATATACATACATGCAAACAAACATACAAACATACGTACATACATTTATTTATTCATCAGGCATGTATCATATCTGCACACGTATGCTTATTAATAAACATTTCCTGTTTTTTCTCACAGGGAAATTTTTAACGTCATTGTTTCTGTTTTCTAAGAAGAGGGGAACACACAAAAACGTCAAGACATCATTGCCAGCCAGCCAGCAACAACATGAGCAACAACAACAACAACGTGAAAGTAACAAATAAAGAATCAAATGGACTCAATTAATGCGGAAACCGACAACAACAACAGCATCAGCAAACTTTGTGAACGGAAACAATGATGACAAAAACACTGAAAACATCAACAATAGAACTAATATTAAAAAAACACAATTCCGAACATGACGCAAAACAAACAAATTCACGGTAAAAAAACTACACCGCTAACACAACAAACAACAACAACACCGCTAACACAACAACACGGACAAACATAGGCAAACAAAGCGACACTCTTTTATACCGAAAAGTGCGTCCCGACAATTAAAATGCCATGAAAACGGAAGTAAACATCTTTTTAGTGTCTTTGGATCGTCCCCAAAGAATCACACGCACATGTATATAAGAATACACTTATGTAAATATTTATATATCATTGTGTTTATTTACTTGTTATATATATATATATATATATACCGACAAGAAAAAACATTCACACACATACACACATATTCACGCACACACACATTCACAAGTAAAAACACGCACATAGAAACATCATAAACAATTGTCACATACACTACTGTAGACAGACACATGCATCTTACTATTTATAAAATGTATATATCATACCTACACACGTACAAAACCTCAAATGACTGAAGATGAATGGTAAAAATTGCAATGAAAGTTTAAAGTAGAAAATCTTGTAACAGTGCATGCCATATAACTAACTAGTTTCAAATGAAAAAATTAAATTGGCACACAATTAAAAAATCGTGTGCCTGTTCAATTCGCGACAGTGAAACAATCAAATGAATTCACAAATGTCTACATGGTTAAAGTATGAATAATGCTAAATGCACAGTAAAATTGCTCAAATATAAAATCAATCCGTGTTAGCATGTAAATAATAATAATATTGGCATGGCGTCAAATAAAAAAAAGATCCTATTTCTAATCAGATGTCAATATCTATGCAAGAGGCTGTGTGTGTGTTTGTTTGTGTGTTTGTTTGTGTGCGTGTGTGTGTGTGCGTGTGCTCACTCAGGTTTTATTGTACGTGTTTGTTGTAAGCATATTATACTTGCATGTACGTACATAGATGCAGCATGCAGTTAGATATTTGCTGTTTGGGAGAGTATTGGAGAATATTCAACGACCAAAAAATAAAAATTGTTTACATCAATTGTACATCATTTGTAGATTAATATTTTTGTGGTGGCAGTAACCTACAGCCCCCTTCGAACTAACCCCCCCCCCGTGATACGTTTCTATGAACGCGCAACACAGCACACTTGCACAGGATAGCAATTCTTATTATACGTGGATTTTCGAGAATCATCAATAAGTTATTCTTTAAACGAGTAGATGGAAAATATATTTCTTCGGCACATTTGCACGTGCATGCAAGGTTTCGCGGTCAAGCGCACACAAACTCAACACAGACAAGATGAAACCATGTGTGAAATCATCACACATATACGTACACGCACGCACAACATGTTTGGGTAAATGAAAGTTTAATGGCTTACAGTGCGCGAATCATTTTTTAATATTGTGAAAAACTTTTTTGGCATTTGTATTTTAATGAAAAAAAAAGTTGAATTTTACGAAATAATGTTGAAAATTGTTCAAATCTGAAGAATAAATCATATTTTTTTCTGAAATATTTTTTTTCAAATTTTGTTCATAATATTTTTGATGGATTCAACAACACAGTTGTGGTGGGAATGGTTAAATTTGGAGAGTGTTTGTCTTTTTAAATTTTGAGATAGTTAGAAGGAGAGTTATGTAGTTGAGTATGGTGCTGTGATTGATGATTCGTTCTTTTGTTTAGTGTGGTGTTGGGTGGCATTGTGTAGTGTGGTGTGGTGTGGTGTGGTGTGGTGTGGTGTGGTGTTGTCGAGTGAGCAGGCTTTGGTGTTGCTAGTGTTTTATTGCGTTCGGTTTGTTTCATCAGCTTCATTGATTCATTTCGACGTTTTCAACTAAACTGTTAGCCACTGTAGTTTTTCCACGCCTTACCTTGTTTTATTTTTTTTATATAGCTTAATAAAACAGAAAAATTAGATTAAAGGTTTCATAAAACTTATTGACAGCCGTGCAGAAATAACATCCTAGCTAATAAATTATTAATATTTATAAATAATTTACACAAATGTATGCCTAAACAAGTACTTGAAACATACATACACAATGTATACAATAAACAATACACAATAAATACATATTATGTATTGATGCATCACATTCATATGCACGTAGACAACAAATACACAAACTATACACAAACACATACATTTACCCATACTTTTGAACATTCAGCATTGATTCCAAAATGAACATGGTCATATAGTAGAAGAGTAGAAGAGTTGTTTTGTTTACAGGCAGACATGTGTTACATCAAAACCAAAGTTAAAAGTAAAAAAAAACAAAATCATGAAAAAATAAAATGAAAAAGAAAAAAAAGAGCAGAAAAGAATTTTATTAGTGCACGTACAACCTTTACATGTTGTTTTATTAAAAACCTCGTAGCTTCTCTTTTATCTTCCTTTTATTTAAAACTTTTAAATTTAATTAAATTATTATTATTAAAGAACAATAAAAATATTTTTTGCTGCTACGACAAAATTTACAGCCGCTACCACTACTACTTACCGCTACTACTTTTTACTGAAACACCATGACCATCTTCAATTCTAATTTTACAATTACTACTTCCACCATTACTTATATTATTATTTCTTTAATATTTTTATTACATTTGCCACTGAAAACTCTAGTTCTACTACCACTACTTTGTTGCTGCTACTGTCATTGCTTATATAGTTACTAGTATTGAAATCATATCTACATTTCATGTTAGTACTACTTTTATTAATACTATTATTACTAATACAGCTAAAAAGGATAATACTATGTAACTAAATTTATTTCTACAAAGCCAATCTTCAGCTAATGAAGATTTATTACAGATATTCGCATTTTTATTATTCACATTTTTAGTAGTATAGCTACCATTAGGCTAAAATTTTCCTTCAAAATGCTACTGCACCGTCTTTTTTATCTCTGGTAGAATCGCATAAAAACTTGCGTAACACGTGCAAGTGCAAATTAATTAATTTTCTGATTTCCATTTTAAATCCATGTTAAATTTTTTTACTATTTGATGAAATTACAAGCAAAATTTGATACAAGTAAATATTATAAACGAAGGCAGGATAAATTTTTTCATTATCGCCGAAGTTAAATTTTATTTTATTTCAAATTTTAATGTAAATTTTAAATCATACAGAAACTCGTTTGGTGGCTACATTGATATAAATTGATATCATACATATATGATATCATTCTATGCCAGTAAGCAAGTGAGGCCATTATTGTCATTAAAACAAACACACGGTGAATGATCAAATAAACGTGAAACGAGAAACAACGCATGTGATGGACGGGTTCCCAACGTAATCGAATCCGGTTGCAGCGATAGTAGTGCCCGGCACTTTACCGCTACACCGTCGCGGCGCCCACTACTACTATTACTACTACAGATGCTACTACAACTACTGTTGTATCAGTACTGTCATCTGAGGAACGTTTGAAAATTTTCTTTTGGAAAAGCACTGCGATTATTTTATGTTACTGCTATTGACTGCTTTTAGCATTGATCTCGTTGTTGTTGTTGTCGTCGTCGTTGTTGTTGTCGTTGTTTTTGTTGTTGTGGTGGTGGTAGTAGTCGTAATAGTGTTAGCAGTAGCAGTAGTAGTAGCAAAACTAGTAACAGTAGTAGTAGCAGCCACAGCAGCAAGTAGTATTTTGTGTGGTAAGTAATTTTCGTTCATGATGGGAACTTGAGTTAGCGTTTGCGTGCTTACCGTGTGATAGTTGTTGCCAGCTTACAATGGCTGAGATTAATTATGCTGTTGGATTGATGATTGATTGACTGTGCATGGATGGATGAATGGATGGATGCATGAATTCATGGCTGCATAGATGAATAAATAGATGATAGTATAATTAATTAAATAATTAAATAAAAAAACAAATCAACCCATAAAAACCCATAACAATCGATCAATTAATTATTTAACCAACTAGCCGACTGATCAATTAGACAAAAACTCAACCAGTCAATCAACCAAACATTCAACTCCCAATTAACTAACTATATAACTATATAATCAATCAACCAAACAACAAACCCAATAACCAACTAATCAATTATTCAATCAGCTAGCTAATCAACATCAATCAATCTCATCAAACAATCATCTAACCAGCCAACCAATCAGACAATCAACCAACCAGCCAACCAGCCAACCAATCAACCAGTCATAAAAATCATTCAACCAACGAGAGTCAGCGAAGCATAATGTTCACATAAATTTCGCAAATTCTCATTTCAAGCGTGCATTAAAACTATTAATTATCATAGACGACCAATAATAAAAACGTGAACATTAAAACGGAATGTTACAGTCAAACCGGTTTATAATGATACGCATATCGATTCGATACTTTTCGAGTTTGCCAGTATTGAAACATAATATAGAATAATCAATAACTGCCTCTCTCTCACTCTCGCTCTCTTACACTTTCTCTCTTTCTCTCTTTCTTTCTATCTATCTATCTATCTATCTCTTTATTTCTTTCTTTTTCCTTCTCTTCATTTTTTTTCATATTTTCTCTGTCTCTCTAAATATTTTTTCGATAATTTCATCCAGTCATTCAGTCTCATATGATGATTATTATTGATTATCTTCAGAGTAATATTAATTTTATTATTATTATTATTGTTGTTGTTGTTGTTTTTATTGTTATCATAATAAAAAAAATCATGAATTTTATACCATCACCTTTGTTTTTTATTGTAAACATGTAGAGGAAACCAGCCAGCCAGGGCAAGAAATTTGATGAAACAGCAGCATCGTTGGCAAATGTGAGCCTGTGTGATTGAGTACGATGAGGAGAATGATGAAGAAAATGATGATAAAAATGGTGAAGAAAGTCACGACAATGGCGATGATGATCGTAATCGCGATCACAACCATGATGACGATAACTTGTTGAGTGAGTGAAAATTATGATGATGATGATGACGACGATGATGACATTTGCCGTACTCATAATTATCAACAAACAATAGTAATATGGCTGTTATTGACGAGTTCATCAGCTTACACAAACATACAACCATATAAAGGATGACTACAAAATTATACCATAGCAAACACGCACATACTTAAGTAAAAACAGCATAACACGCATACACACATATATACATACTCCCATTCAAATGTATAACCACACATATTCAACACATATAAAACCAGGCACACACACATACATACGCTCATATAAACGCAAACCTTTCAAATAATAATTTCATCATTGCCTCACGTAAAAAGTTTAATATATATACATAAGAATAATTATTATAATTAATATATTTCTAAATATGTTATAATTGTAATAATAAAGCAATTAAAATAATCTTGATGTAATGTTCGTTTCATGTGGTTTGAAATGACTAAAAGATCAAATGTGATTCGATGCAATGATAATACATTATTTTCATCATTTAATTGAACATATTTTTAAAATAATAATTAATGCATTATATGGTAATGTAAACTGTACGTGAGTTTATGTATGTGTAAGGATTGTATCTATGTAAGTATGCGTGCGAACAAAAACAGCCAAACATCTAACTGTACTGGCAACATATTTTTCTCATCCTGTCAACAATGTCGACATTCATATTTTACATTCTTATTTATACAACAAGCAAAAATTTTTGAAACAAACAAGTTTAAAAATTTATCACAAAATCTACACAAGAGCTTTTCGAAATCGATCTACACAAACTCAAAAAATTGTTCCATCTATCTTTTGAAAGAATTCATACATCTGTGGAACTTTTCCGCCAAGTCCTGTTACATTGCTAATTTGCGGCATATCATTCTAGCAGCTTGATTCTAAACTATCTGAAGTTTAGACAACAGTTTATCAGCTATGCCATATAGAAGACTGTTACAATAATCCAATCTAGAGTTGACGAAAGCGTGTACTAATAATGTCACTGTATCTCTATATCTGACGTAGTTGGAACATAAATTTTTTAACCAATAGATTGACTTGTGGACCCATTGTCATACGGAAGTCCATCTTCCCAAATTGGTGACCGTTTTACTGAAGCTTTTACTGAAGTCATACTGATGTTACTCAATGAGGGCTTAACCGCTGACGTTTGTTGCCACGTACCAGCCAACATGAACTTAGTCTGATTCAACTTTAGCCTACTTTGACTCAGCCACGAGCAAAATCAGATATCGTTTTCGTCAGTTTCTTTAGACATCTCATCCGGAAAACATGATGGGATGTTTGTGTTTATGTTTGTTTGATAGTATATTGTATATACCTATGAATAATGTCTGTGTGCAGAGGCCGATCTTGAAAAACGGGGTCCAGAGCGTTGCGAGCATTATTGTTATTAAAAGTCAGTAAAACTCCTTGTTTTAACAGAAAAACATTGTTTTATGTCGAAAAATTTACGTGATAAGCAAAGCCAAAAAGTCGTTGGCCTAATTTTGGCCAAACTATCAAAAATGTTGGACTTTCTAAATTTAAACATTTTCAACATTTTGGCCTCCTCCATCAGAGTTTTTCTGATCCTGCACTGTGTGTGTGTATGTATGTATGTATGTGTGTATGTGTATGTGTGTGTGTAAGTGTGTGTATGTGTGTGTGTGTATGTGTTATTGTGTTTAATGTACAGGCAGTATACATTTTTTTCTAAGCAACAACTGCTGTCAGCCGATCATCAAATTTTGATGTTATTTTAATTCTATTCATTTCATGTTATTTCGGGCGTGCGTGCATAAGTTTCGTAGCAGGTTGTCATGAATATAATGATGATGATGATGATGATGATGATGATGATGATGATGAGGATGATGAGGATGATGATGAGGATGATGATGACGATGATGATGATGAGGATGATGATGAGGATGATGACGACGACGATGATGATGGTGGTGGTGGTGATGATGATGATGATGACGACGACGATGCTGATGATGACCATCCAATGATTTTGAGAGCCACATACAGCCCCGTAAGTTTCACTAATTTGTTATCTATTAATACTACTACCACCTAATATAATTGCACTAAGCATGATAGCATCTAAACTACGGTTTTTAATTATAACGGTCGTTATTGTAGTCGCGTCAGTGTCGAAGTGTAGTCGCTGTTTTCAACTGTACATCTTGCTGGTTGCTATTGTAATAATTACATATATATATATATATATATATATATATGTGTGTGTGTGTGTGTGTGTGTGTGTGTGTGTGTGTGTGTGTGTGCGTGTGTGTTGATGATTTTTTAATAAAATTTGTCCTAATGATAACCAATCATATTGGCGTGGTTGTTTATTTTGATGCACTTGTAATGTAATGTTACTGCGATGATGCTTAATGTCATATGCGTACTCTAACGTATCTTAATGTCATTTTTGTAATTCATGCTGTTGAAAGGTTGCTGACATGATGCAAGTAATTTATTTTATCTGTCAGACCTAAACAACAGTTTAAACTTATGATAAACCCTAAGAATACAACAACAACAATTACTACTACTACTACAACAACAACTACTACTACAACAACAACATGATGATGAATAAATTACACTAATGACATCAACAAAACATTAAAAAAATCAAATAAAACAACAATACATCAATGTTCATAAACACACACACACACCCACGCGCGCGTACATACACAAACACATGTACACACATTCAAACATACATATACATACATCTATGATGACAATATATAAAAGCTTTTAATTATAATTATTTGTAAATAAAATTGAGACAACTTCCATGACAATAATACCAGACAACTATACCACTACCTCTGCTAGTGCTGCTGCTACTGCTGCTACTACTACTACTACTACTACTACTACTATTATTATTATTATTATTATTATTATTATTATTATTGAATTTTTATTATTTTTATTATTATTACTATGTTTACTGAAAATGAAATAATAACAACATTAAAAAAAAGTAAATTCATTAATTAAAATAAACAATAACATCAACAATGACAAAAAGGCAATAACACAAATAATGTCGGCAAGCACACACACACACTCACATGCACAAACACACAAACAAACGTACGCACACACGCACGCACACACACATTCGTCACACTTCATTTGCTACTTCTAACGAATTAAATAAAATATGGTACACGATGAATGCCTTGACGACGACGATGATGATGACGATGATGATGACGATGATGATGACGACGATGACGACGATGATGAAGACGATGATGACGACGACGATGATGGTGATGATTATCTGATTATAGTAATGACGGTTATGAAAAGGCTGACGATGACAGGATGATGACAACGATCCGAAGTAGACAATAAAGTCTAGGAATGATTGAGAGTCTTGATGCTTTAACAGTCGTCAATATTTTTTTTTTTTTAATTAAATATTTTATTTATTTGTTTGAAAATAAATTTATCAGACCAAATACAAAATAAATGCAATTGTGTTAATGTTTAAATATACGTAAACTGTGTGTGTGTGTTTGTTTGGTGTGTAATATATATGTATTTTGGGTTCAGACTGTATATATTTATATATGTAAATACATGTATATGTAAATATATATATATATATATTTTTACAATATTCTATAAATTCTACCGAATGTTTGGCGTTAATATGTTTGTAGTTCGTTTTTTCGATTTTTCTCACTAAAATTTTTTGGTAAAAATTATGGTCTATTACCAACATTTACTCGAAGTTCTGCGACAAAAATATTGTAAAAATTATGGTCTATTACCAACATATATATATATATATATATATATACAATATATCTTGTCTAATCTATAGACTTTTTGAGACCACTTAGCTGCACATCTATAAGGTTAACATAATGATGGGTGGGGTGTGTGTTGGTTTGTTGATAATGCGTGTGTTTTTGTTTTTACGCATTTGTATTTGAGCATATGTTTGTGTCTGTGTGTTTGTGTGTGTATTTGCACGTGTGGCGTTTTGTTGGTCTGTAAAAAGCTATATCTATTTCAGTTGCTTGATTTATGTTATACTTACAAAGTTCCAAAAGTTGTTTTGTCCTAACTAATTATTAGATGGTTGTAATAAATTATAATTTATATTGATCAACCAACAATAAATATATATATATATATGTTTAATATATATATATATAATATATATATATATAAATATATATATATATATGTTAATGTATGTATATCTTTGTATTGCGGTATTGTTTTAAAGATTTATTAGCTGCACAATGTGAATGAGAGACATGCAGACCGGTCGATAGGGTTTAAAAGTATTTGTAGTAATAGTAGTAGTATTTTTGGGAAGGTAATAGTAGTAGTAGTAGTAGAATGAGTACGTTATAGTATTAGTAGTTGTTGTAAAAGTAGTAGTAGTAGTAGTAGTAGTAGTAGTAGTAGTAGTAGTAGTAGTAATATTAGTAATAGTAGTAGTAGTAATAGTAGTAGTAGTAGTAGTAGTAGTAGTAGTAGCAGAAGTAGAAGTAGTAGTAGTAGATGTAGTAGTTATAGTAGGAATAGCTTTTGTTGTTTGTTGTAGTTGTTGTGAGCTTCTACGTGTTAGTAGGGTTATTGTGTTGTTATTGTTGTTGCTATGTTTATGCTTAGTTGTGTGTGTAGCAGTAAGATGCTGCTGTTGATCGAAATTTAGTGTGGTTATGTTAAGCTAATTGGGAGGTACCACGTAAAGTTGTAGTTATTGTTATGGTCATCATCGTTGTTGTTGTTTTCGTCGCTGTTACTTTTGTTGTTTTTGTTGTTGTTGCTGTTAATTATTTTTTGTATTATATGATAAACATAACAGCGCTACAATATTTTAAGTTCATTTGGATTAAGGGTGAATCTTATGTTGTTGTCGTTGTTGTCGTCGTCGTTGTTGTTGTTGTCGTGTTGTAGTTGTTGTCGTTGTTGTTGTTGTTGT